TAACATTGCTAAACATTCTGTGCGTATGCACTCACTATTCACGTTATCGTTTTTACTGAACACTTTGCTTGAAGCTGGAAAAATTGAACGAGACACCGTGGATGCGGTAGCAAAATATATAGCGGCATGTCAGATCAATAGCGATGGAACTTTTGCAAACGACAAGCCACAAGTTGGTAAGAAAAAATGTGATCTTTTAATTATAGTTTATCAATATTGTTATTAATTCAATATAGTTTGAAATGCTAGTCGTTATTGTTATAGTAGTTTGTGGAAAAGTATAGAACAGGAAACATGACTAGAACTAAAAGGGTTGAGATAAGTGTGAGTGACGGTAGGGGAAAAAGAAGAATATAAAGTTTTTGAACACAGAAAAGGTTAGATTACACTTTAAATGACTATATTTAAATGACTAAATTACAAATACGAATTATATGGTATGGTAAAGATATGGTAAAGTGTAAAAGAGTAGGAAATTGTTTGGGAACAAAGTTGAATTAAGGATGCGTGGGATTTGAATTAAAGCTAACAAGGGTTAAAACGAGAGAGACCTACTCCGTTTTAACTTTAGTGGGACGAAACCAAAAATCAATTGGACCCAAATTAGTGCGTACATTAGAATATAAAAACAGATGGGCAGTTAGAACACTCATCCCCATGATATAAGGTTTCCAGCAAAGGGCCCTCACTTCATCCATGCAAGCATTTAATGTTCAAATTTGCTCATGTGCATATATATATTATTGACTATAATAAAATCAGAAAATGTCAAAAGCTCTATGTAGAAGTTTCAAAATCGGGATAAATTGCAACAATAAATATTAGAAGTGCTAAGTAATACCACTAAAAACGGTTAAAACAATTATCAAAGACGAACACAAGGAAAGTTTCGTACAACAATTCGAAACGTGTACAGCTGCTATAGAATATTGTGCCAAATATATTGAAAAGAACACATTAGCCACCATTGGTGAAAAAAAAGTAACGGTTAACAGCACCATAAGTGTTAAAGTGTTGAACTAATATCCTCAAAAATTGTGACTCAACCAAGGAACTGAACGTTATGTTTAAGAATTTCAGAGAAATGCTTCCAAACGAGTATAAATATTGATAATGTTATAAAAGATGAAAAGAAGAACGTAATTTGCATTTTGGTAATCTTTTCCATTTAATAATTTTGGTTATATTTATTTATCTTGCACATTAATAACAAAATGATTAAAGTTATTCTTTTCGTTTGTCTTGAAGACAAAAATGAGTGAAAAACCGACTTGATAATTATATATAATTAATGAACTTTTACTGTTAACTTAGCACAATATAAAAAAATATAGTTAAATATATATATATAGGTTGTCTTTTAATTTTACCAAATAATGATGACTGTTTTTGTAATTATGTTATCTCTATCATTGTATCTTCCTCGATATTTAAGAGGCCAGTCACAATGAGTTAATAAACTTAATAGAATTTTATTATTTTATTGCGCTTGAAACGGAGCTATGTAGGTATTATTGCCTAATATTTGAAGTAGATATGCGACGTTTATCATTTTATGATATCCCAGGCACCCGTATTTATTTAATATGTACAGGTAAATTAATTAAGTGGCTTATCATTACACTACATTATAGAATGCAGTTATTTAAATTAAATTAATTTTATTTTTATCTCACTGAATTAGTTTTTTATTTTTGTTGTTTTCTAATTTTTTGCAAAACATATCTGAAGTAATTTAAACGGTTATTGCATCTGATAAAAATTATATTTTTCATGAAAAATAGATTTATCTGACTAAATATGTTTGGTTAGATATGAACATGATTCACATTCTCGTTAGATATGGCATATTTTATTATTTGTTTTTTAAATAAAATCACAATAAAATGTATGTATATATATTTAACAAATAAATAAATTTAATTGCAGTTAATGATTTTGTTCGCACAAGAATGCCTTACGAAAGTCGTGCCAACTTGGCTAAGTGTGAACTAGCAAAGCAACTCTTCCTTTTGATGTCCACCAAGAAGACGAATTTATGCTTGGCAGCCGATTTAACAAAATGTGAGGAAATTTTGGATGTTGCCGAGAAATGTGGGCCATATATATGTGTGCTTAAAACACATATAGATATAGTAGAAGATTTTAGTCAGGATTTGATAAGGCAACTTCAAAATTTGGCAAAGAAACACAATTTCTTAATAATGGAAGATCGTAAGTTTGCTGATATAGCCAATACAGTGTCACATCAATACAGAGATGGTATATATAGAATCTCTGAATGGGCTGATTTAGTAACAGCGCATTCTTTGTCTGGTAGAAGCATATTAGTTGGACTTAAAGCTGGTGTCACTACGGCGGATAGTAAAAATCGTGGTGTTTTTCTTTTGGGAGAAATGTCTGCACCAGGAAACTTGATTGATGACAAATATAAGGAAACAACAAGCAAAATTGCAACGGAAGGCAGTTTTGTTGACTTCGTGGCTGGAGTTGTTTGCCAGTCAAAAGAATGTTTTTCGTTTCCTGGCT